GTGTCAAGGCACTTCTGGGTTAATCTCCAAGGTACTTTGACTTGAGGGGATTGCTTGTCAAGGAGTGAGAGTGGTCAGCTGCACCTCACTTCTCCTTCAAACCTTGGGGGAAACCAGATGAGTGAGCTTCTCTTTGGAATCCTTGCTTCAAAACAGCCTTGACAGTTTACTCACCCTGCCTCCAACTGGTTGGTTTGCTGAACGTGGCTCAGTTGCCTGCTCTGAAGGGAAAACTGAGAACTTTGTGGTTCTTTCCCTTCTCTAATGACGGAGGTGCTAGGTTTACAATCAAGAGGCAGAAATGCTAGCCTGCAGATTGAACTACAGAGTTTTAACCAGTCCATTTTCTTTTATATTCCAACTTTTGTATTACAACTCATGAGGTAACTGTGTGGCTAAGCCCTGTGCTTCTACCCACCAGGCCTGTTAGACCTTCGGCTAGAGATTTCTTACTTGGTTCAGCAGAGGTCTTTGAAGTTGTGTTTCAGCCATTGTCTGGACTCCTAGCCTTGTTAGTATGCAAATTTCTTCCACAGAATTGCCTAACTGATCCCAGGAACCATCGCTGGCAGCAAAATAGAATAAAGAGGTGTTAAAAGAGGAAGTTGATTTTCAGGAAAACCACTGTGGGAAGGAGAACAAAATCTGTAAAAGCTGGAGGAGGAAATGCTCAGATAGAATTCCTCTGGCGGAGGCCTGCCTCTTCTACTCTTCTGAACCATTTCATCTTCAACCTAAGGTGGAAAATCACTTTATAGGCAGAATCATTTGGAAAAGAACATGGGCTGGTAGGTTCATCAGCTGTGACAAATGTCCCACTCTGGTGGGGAACATGGATAGAGGGGGGCCTGTGTGTGTGTTGAGGCGGAGGGTATAAAAGAACTCTTTTACCTGCTTCTTAATGTTTCTGTGAACCCAATCCAGCTGTAAAAAAAAATCAAAATCTATTTTTAAAAATGGACTGGAGTTAGGCAGACTTGTATGTGAACTTCGGATTCACCACTTTCTAACTGTCTGATCTTTATTGAGTAGTTTAACATTTTTGAAATTCAGATTCTCTGTTTATAAATACTTTCAGGGTCAAATAAGACAGTAGTGAATAATGATAGCTGCCATTTAGTGAACATCTATTGTGGGCTGGGCAGTTACTCCTTAGTCTTCATAGTTGACTGAAATTATTATTTCTACTTTACAAATGAGCAAATAGATGCAAAGAAGTCAGGAGACCTGACTAAGGTTATCCATCTAACAAGAGGCAGAATTCATATGTTGAAGTCAGTGTTAAACAGGTTAAGGATATAAATTCTATGAGGCTGCTTGCTCTGCTCTTTGGTAGCAATTAGGTGAATATAAAATAGTTCAATTCACGAAAAGCACTTAGAAAATAGAGGGTTATGGGTACTATTAAACCAGGGTCCCCCAAACATGTGCTCCTTTCAAAATTGGTTTATTTAACACCAACAGAAGATGTTTCTATACTTGACATTTAGCAATTTTTTCTTAAAGCTCTACTTTTTATATTTCCTTTCCTACATATATGTATGGGAGGCATTTACATATTGGTGTTGTGGGGCAGTTGACAATTATGAATTTAAAATATGGCAAAAAATTTTCACGCCAGTTTAAAAATATAGGCCAAGAGACAAAATAGGGTCAATAATCAAGATCTCTGGAAGACTTTGTAAAAAGACTTTCTTGAACTGGGTTTGTGATGGTATAACAAGGATTTCATTCATTCATTCATCCCATAAACCAAAAAATGCTTCTTTTATGTACCTATTTTGTGTCTGGAACTATGAACTTATGTATTATCTTTTTATTTTTGGAATGTTTATCCAAGATTCATAACCAAAGCCAGTTGATCTTTCTGAACCTGGTGTAACCTTCTCCTACCAAACCTGTCCTGAGATTTCGTGGGACACCAAATCCTGTCATATTCCACTGAAGTTGGTTTGAAACAAATGGCATCTCCCCTAATTGGCTGATTATGGCTGTCTTAGCTTCTGCCAACAATCCCTTGTCTGGACCCTGTGTGACCTGTGTGGCTGCTGTTAGGTAGTTCTCACACCTCACTTTTCCTGAGTCCCTTCTTTTCTCCCAGAGACTTCAGGTCAGCCTGCATTGTCCTTGGGCTTTCACCTTTCTGTGCTCTATTTTCTAGCAGAAATGCTAGAATCCAAGAGGGAGATAACGGGAAAGCATACAGGATCAGGTGGAGCACCTGACCTAGTCCCTGGGCCTTTGGATAATCAGCAGGGCAAGGGGAATTGATGAGTATTTGTTCAGAGTTTGTGTCATAGACAGGTGTTGTTGTCCGATAAATGGGTTACAAGTAGTTGAGATAGGGAGATGTGCTTGGTTTATCAGCAGGGTGTTTTACAAAGTCCATTTCTGATGCAGGGTTCCTTAGAACATGGGATGTCTCATCCCATAGAAATCACATTAAAGACAGTAGACAGAGGCAAGAAAAGGGCATTTCATTGACCTTCACTGTGGCCTTGGGACTATGCTGGCCGCTTTGTACCCGCTGATGCATCAAATCTTCACATCTACTTGGCAAGACAGTTATTATGATTGTTGTCCTTGGTGTTGCCCCTACTCTGCAAGGTAATTACTACTGTTGTTCTTTTTATAATTCATGTATGTGTGTTTTTGTTATCATCCTCAACTTCCAAGTAAGGAAACAGGCTCAGGGAGGTAAAGGAAGGAGTCTGAATTCACACAGCTGGGACGAGGTAGTGCTGGGATGACGCTGGGGCCTGAGGGTTACCTGTAGGAGTGAATTATATCAACGATGCAGTACCACCTACTGTACTGCATGGTGCTAGGTGGCCTCCTAGGCGTGAGTCCTGGCAAAGGGGCAGTGCAATAAAGCAAAGGGCTGGAAGAAGAAACCAGCCCAAGGCAGAATATTCCCCTATGCCTTTCCTTCCCAAACACTGCCCGAGAACTGAGTTAGTCAGAGGTTGGGGCAGGGCTTGGATGTCCAGGGGTACAAGTTTAAACCCCAGCTCCACTATTTATTGACTGCGTGTACTTCAGCTGGTACATGTACCACCAGTGTTTTGGTTTCTGCAGTTGTAATGAGAGATAAATTGCAGTGTGAGCAGTTTCATTCATTCACTGGACAGCTTTTATTGAGTAGTCTCGTGGACTTGACACCATTCGGTGGCCTGGGAGACCCAACAGTGAACCAAACAGAGCCCCAGCTCCCAAGAAAATTATATTGTACTTAAAAAATAGAAAAAGTAGTGAAGAACTCCCACAGGAACCAGTGAGGTAGTAAGGAGTAAGTGGGAAAATACGCATGAAGTACTTAGAATTGTGCTTGGCATGTGGTAAGCACTCAGTGAATGTTAACTATTATTCTTTTTCCATCTGTATAGCAATTTGAAGTAAAGTAAACCAGTGTATCCAGGTTTCCAAATAAGGTTTCTTTCCAAGCCCACTGATTTTTCTAGAAGCTCTGACAGTTTCCATGGAACCCAGTTCTTGTGCAGTGGTCGAGGGTATGGAGTGAAGCTGCCCGTTAGTTCCTCACTTGACTGCCTCCAACTGGTGAATTTTGAGCCCTTTGAGGGTTAGGACCAATCTCTCATTCAGCTGTGTGTTCAGAGCGCCTGCACATAAAAATTGCTCAATAAATGTTTGTTTTTGAAAGGAGAAAAAGGCAGGTAGTTTGTATGTGGAGCCATGAATTGCCCCTGGGTTGTTTTATATTTACTGTGTTTTACGAAGAGAAGTGTTGGCTTTTGGTGTGGGGATTGGGAGGAGGTCAGAGAAAAAGAGACAAAAAATTCATTTGTCTGAGCTGCTGCTTTTCTGCAAAGAGGACAGGATCAATCTTTGGTGGCCCTTGAATTATTCTTGCCAAGACTAAAGGCTTGTTCCTGACTCGTGCCAGTGACAACAACTGCATGTTGTCATAAGCAGAACAACTCAATACCAAGAAGAGAGGCTTGTAATACTTCTCCCAGGCTGCAGCGGTGGGGGCCTTTGAGTGGGGAACATAGGCCCCTCTGTCCCTTCCCCCTTTCTGGCAGGCAGCTGCAAGCCATCTTGTCCTGAAGTCTGGCCCTAACCAAGAATTCTCTGGAAAATGACTGCACTTAAGAATTTGGGGGTGTACCAGGCACTGTACTGATTTCCCCCTTTTAAATATGACATTCTGCCTAACCTTCCTAATTCACTGATACAGGGTAGAGGCCCCCCTCTCTCCATGATTAGCAATGACTTTAACTGCCTTAAACAGAGCCAGTTGTGTTTTCTGGATGAGCCAGGGAAACACTCAATCCAAAACAAGCAGTTTATGTGGATGGTTTGCATTCTGCTAAACATCTCTATTTTTAATAATAATTTTAATAAGCTAGTGATTGTCTATAATTTCAAAACAATCCTCAAGAACAGTCCATGTGTATTTGATGGTTACTTTTGCATACCTCATCTGTATATGGATATGTATGTATATATGTCCAGGAGCAATACCTCTGTCTCTTACAGGGATATTTCCATAAGAGTAGGGCTGCAAGTCACACACACCCTCTTCTGAGTAACTTTTCTTTTAAAAATTTACTCTCCTTAGCTTCATTGTAATATTGCAGTTTCTGTTTGTACATCAGACTCTTACAAGAGCAAAGAGAAAAGAGAAAAAAGTTGAATGTATTTTACATTGTCTGCAAACTCTTTTGTTAAAAAATGTCACATTTTTTATGTGTTCTATAGTATGTTTATTAAATCTCCCCAAATACATCCTCGAGAATTAATTTTCATTCAGTCTGCATTAACTCATTGATTGAATTGGAATTCAGTCCTCATCTGAGGCCATTAATTTGAAAAGTGACCACACGCCCGCCCGCCCACCCCACTTCTAGAACTCCCACACACATATGCTAAGTAACAAGCCAGCCGGTGACTGGATTTTTCTTTCTTATTCCTTTTCTTTTCCTCTTTGAGACACTTGCTGCTCTTGCCTGTTAAATAAATGATCTGTCTCTTTGCAGGATAGCGACAACCTCTGGTGGGATGCATTTGCCACTGAGTTTTTTGAAGATGACGCCACATTAACCCTTTCATTTTGTTTGGAAGATGGACCAAAGCGATACAGTAAGAAAGAAGTTTATTTTTCTAATGTTCCCTTTTTTGCGCCTGTAAGAAACCCACAGGGGTCTTCAGAGAATAGCACAGTGGTGACAGCCTGACAATAATACCTCCACTCGTGGTGATGTTCTTGCTTCTGATCAAGGCATTGTGACCGGGTGGCAGCCCGAGTCGGCTGGGAGAGATTTCCTTCAAGCCGTAGGATGTTTGGGTACTTACCTGTTTAGAGAGCCAGGCAGAGACGAACCCAGTCACCAGTGATAAGTGGGAGCTGAATTCTGGAGCATTTCCATGTCTTCCCTGGGACCCTCTTTTATCCTTGACAGCTGCCATTTCGCACTCAATGTTCTGCTTCCGAAGGTTCCTTTAAAAAAAAAAAATCCTCACAGTCCCTGTATCAGCCACATCCTTCTAATTCCCTCTTATCAATTATCTCAGGTATTTGACAAGTGCAATCTTTTCTCAGGGGCAGGGGAGGCCACAGCTGTGTGGAACATACAGTTTTGGGTTAGTGTTGACAGAATTATAGTTCCTTGTCTTTCCGGCAAGTGATAACTCTGTAAAGATCCTCAAATCACTGCCTGTGGCCCCTTGGGTAGCAGCTGATCTATGCTGATTAGGTTCAGCCAACTTGTCAGAGCTCAGATTTGCTAGTTGTGCTGCAAGACCGAGAGGCATAGATACATCAGCACAAAAGCAATTAATGTCCAGTTAGATCAGAGAAAGATGTGTTTTCAGAAATCAGTGTTGCATGTATGAAAGGATCTGTCAGAGGGTAAAAATCCCAAATGTCACAGACACGGACATGATGATGGAACCCACCACAGTATGTATGACCAAGTCAGTCCCGAACACTGAGCAGTTGATAGATGATATGGTTCTTGGTAAACAGGATTAGAAGACCTGATGGTCTCTAAATTTATTTTGGAACCACTCGGATACAACAACAGTTTATATTTTTAATTTTGGAGGACTTTACACAACTTAGCAGTATTTGGATCTATTGTATGGTGAGTTGATTAATTATGCTAATATATGCATGGTGATTTTGCACTGGTGGCAAATGGGGGAGAGCAGGACAACGTGGATTTGCTGCCTAATTGGAACTCATTGCCAGGAGCATGTCTCTAGATTTGTTCATTGTGGGCTTTGAAGGGCATGGGTAGTTCTAATAAATATTTGGGTGAAGTGCAGCTAGTACACCAGACAACGGGCTGTTGTGGTGTGTCTTTATACTCAGCATGATGACCTCCAGTGCAGGTACTGGCAAAACCACTTCGTGGGTGTCCTGAGGAGCTGACCTGCTTTCCTGTGTGTGGGAACAGCCTCCAGCCAGAGAGAGCAGGATAGGCGGGTGCAGAAGCTGCAGTTTCAGAAGCCCCTGGGAGATAAATTAACTTGGCAATCCAACAATTACCCTCTCCCCCAAAGCCTGCCTGATCAATGGTGAATAATTTCGAACCAAGTGGTTATCCATCCTCCCAACTTTCTTATTTTTTTCTGAGGCATAGGCGCAGATAACCACGTTATCATTGTTTTATGATCCTGTGCTGTTTTTTGGTCTGTGAATCCATCAGGTCTTCTCAGACAACTAGAATTACCGTTTGGAAGCCTATACTAATAACACAGAGTCTCGATCTTCCTTCTGTCCATTCCTCCCTCCCCACCACCCCAGCATCACTTCGGAGAGTGGCATGAGCAGCATCTATTTAAGATCTTATGTCCATGTACAGGAGTAAATGCCTGACGAGGAGCCATTCTTGCCCAGGTTTCTTTGTTTCTCTGAGCCAAAATATTTTCCAAGTGGAAAAGAGAAACAAAGATGATTGACAGGCTGGAGCTGAGTCTCATCGGCTGCTTTGCTGACAGCCTGGTGATGTGCACATGCTGCTGATGTGGGCGCGAGTGACAGCTGATTGACAGCCCTGGACGGCAGACAGGAAGATGAAGCGTGCTTAGAACGCCTGAAGTGCCGTGTATTTGCTGCACAATGAGCTCAGTCACTGCCACCTTAACCCATTTGGGGTCCAGGCCCTCTGTGCCAGGCTTGGAAAACACCTGCTAGCACTGAGCTGCAGGCTACAGCTTTTCCTTGAGACCTCCCAGGTTTCTGAGAACTTTGCATTTCTGAGGAAGAAAATAAGATTTGGCTCTTATATATGTATACATAAATTTTTTTCCCCAAATTACATTCATTCTAGCTACCAAGAAATATTCCAGATGAGGTTTATTTAGCCCTTGCCAGAAAAAAAAAAGTTTCCTTCTCCCTTCTCATCTCTGTCTTTAGAGGGTTCAACCCTCTGGCTATAAAATATCTTCTCTCTAAGCTACCATAAATCCTGTAATATGTGTTTGCTTATTTCTTTGTTGTCCATCACCCCCTATTAGAATGATATTTCCATGTGAACAGTGGCTTTTTTGACTTACTGCTAAATTCTCAGATTAATACAGGGACTTGCACATAATAGATAGTCAACAAATATTGGTTGAATAAATGATTGAATGAATGAATGGACATAATGAAGAAGTTTATATCACCAAACAGAATGTTGGCGATCCCTCTACCAAGATCGTTGAACTTTTTCAAGTGGGAAGAACTTGACCCCCAGTGCTCTGCTGGCCTTCAGATAAGCTCTGGGATACCGTGTGATCTCTTTTAAGGAAGAGGGGCAGCCAGCGATATAACTAAGAAATGTATTGCACTTCCTTTCAGAAAGTTCCTCTGTACTGATTGCTCTGCCCACTCCAGTCCCTAAGCCCTTCACTCTCCTGATGGGGGAGCAACCTGTCCCCAGGCAGGACATGAGTGGGCCAGGTGAAGGCTTCCTGGAAGACTGGGGAGAGGTTGGTGTGAACAAGTTTGCTGGGCCATGCTAGAAATTGCACTGTGTACTCCTGCCCTTGCTTGCAGGAAGTTCCAGGGAGGTAGTTTGCTCCTTGGGTTAGGTGGAATCTCAAGTTGGGAAGAGGTGAGAGATAGGCAATTCCCTTTCTGTCAGTATGTCAGTGGTTAAAGACCAGTAGAGTTGAAAAGCATCTTTTCTAGAAATAGAAACTTGGTCCAGAGAGCCCCAGCTGGTGAGTCATTGGGCCTCAGGTTAACTGACTCCTATGTCAAAGTCGGGGCACCCTTCCTCCCCTCCCTGCATCCTATCCCTACATCATCCCAAAGCTAAGGAGAAAGAAATGGAATTGTCAGTTCACACTTCCAGAAACACAAGTAACTACTGTGTCTTATTTGACACAGGAGGCAAGGGAAGCAGAGGAACGGGCTTCTCAAAGTCCTCTGCAGGCTCACTTACAATTCCAAGTCCGGTGTGGTGTGCTACTTTCCTTGACTGTCTTGTGTAGAAGCTGACAGTCCTAGGTGGGTCACTCACCGATAGCTTCAAGCAAGTATTGATTTTCTTCTTCACCTTTTCTGAGCATGTAGCAGAACTGTGCCCCATAGTAGTCTCTCTCCTTGTGGCCATCACAAACACCCTTTGGGTAAAGGTACTGGTAACCCCCACAGGAGACCCAGTTCATGTCCATGTCCAGGTCCGTGTTGCCATGTTCTTCATCTACAGGAAGTATGTGGTTCCAAATTTATTCAGGAAATATTTCTCTGCAGGTAGAGATGCATGGGAAAAGTTCTACTAATTTGCATGGTATTGGTGAGGCTGGACATTGCACCTTGTAGCAGAAAAGGTACAAGGGTTAGGTGCAAACACTCTTGTATTTTGACCCATGCTTTGTTTGGTAAACAGTGCTTCCATTTCCTCACCTGTAAAATGGGTATAATGCTACCACCACTGGCTTATGGTGAAAATTCAGTAAGATAATATAGTCAAAGGGTCTCAAACCATTTGAAGCATAGTATAGTCAGCATTGACTATTATTAATGATAATGCACAACCTTGGCATCACTATAGCTTCTGTCCACTGGAGAAGCTTGCCATTTGACAAGTGCTTTTCAAGTGTGCTCAGTGTGCAGAGCTTGGCACAGATGTTAGCTGGTCAGCTGGGAGCCCATGCAACCTCTCTGATGTGCAGCTTCTGCTGAAATGCAGCATTGAACAAACTACCTGCTCTTTCAACTGCAGAAACCTAGTGTCATCACTGGTAAGTGGGTTATGTGCAGAAGGAAGGAAATGGATGGAAAGGGTGATGAGTATTTGTGGGGCTCTGTACTTTGGTGGGCTAATGGCACCAAACACTAAACCATGTGTAGGTTGACATTGCTTTGGAAATTAAGGTGAAAAATGATGTAACTACTACAATGCCATCTTGTTTCAGGGCACTGCCCATTGGCCTGCTTTTTAGGGAAAGCTGTGTGGTTCAGGCAGGGGTTCAAAACCAATTTTGTCTTTTACCTTCTATGTGATTTGGTATAAGTCACTTTCTAAGGGTCAATGGCCTCTTCCGAAAAGTGAGGACTTGATGAGATGATGCATGTAAAGTTCTTAGCAGAGTTTCTAGCAGCTTAAAAATGCACCATAAATAGCTGTTATTTAATTGAATTCTAGTGCTGCCTCTAAATTGAGATCCAGGACAATTCAGATAGAATTGTCATCAATCCTTTAACTACCGTTTGTGATTTGGGGTTGGTGGGTCCTAGTAATTTGCTCTCATGCACTTGTCATTTCATCTGGACTTCCACAGTCTGTCTAGAATAAAGATTTCTGACAGGTATGCCCACCTACATAGTCACATTAGCCAAAGATGTTTCTTTTCCTCTGTAGCTGCCAAGGGACTGTTCACTCTCCCAAAAAAAGGAAGTTGTTTTAGGACATGTCATTGCTCTTGGTGCCATTATTTTCTTCCCTTATCCTCTGTCATCAAGTCCCATTAGATAGTTTAAAGAATGGCTAATCAACCCCTCTGTGGCGTCATTTCTACACTCGCTATTTCTCTTTTACATTTTCCTTCCCCCCTCCTTTTCCCCTGCAACTTCTGATAGCATTGCAATACTGACAAAGTTCTTCAATTTTATCTTGTACCGTGTGTTTTTATGTGCTGTATAT